CTGCAATTTTTATGTCAAAGGCTTATGTGTATCTGATGCGTAGAAACAAATGAAAATATATAGTTTGGTCCCATTTAACTATTTTTATTTATCTAAGTGACATACGAGGGCTTATCAGAATATGGCTGGAGAAGCCTAAAACTTCACCTTGATGAAGGTCAATTCAGATAGTATTATCTATCTACGTGTTTATTTGTATAGGCATTGTATTTGTGATATTATATTTTGTTAATTTGTAAATGGAACATTTAAAAAGATGACCACTTTTTACAACCTTGATTAATACATTAAGGAGCCTGAAAAATAGAAGTGGGCTGGGTTTTCTAAATCTCTGAGTCTCTGAATCTCTGGGCTTAGCGTCACCTTGATGAAATGTTTCCACATACTCTCCAGGTGATGGATCTTAGTAACTTCCCTGAGGAATGCATGACCTTACCTTGTGCCTATATTAATAAGTTTACCCAGTGTAAGCTTTCTGATGTGTCATCTTGAGCTTAGTTATCATTTCAGAAAGTAACTAAACTTGTTTTTTAAATAGATGTAACTCCCCATTACAATCATTTTTCCATAAGCTACTTCCTATTCTTCACCTATCTGGTGTATTTCACTAGTGCCATGTTTAAAGAAGTCTGTCTACCTTCTTTTAAGGTGTATCTGTCTAACTCAAGACTGTTTTATCATAAAGTTTACAACATGGAGCTTGGTTCTAGGACCAAAAGAGAAAACAAACATTTATACCATATTAATCAATGACCTAGATGTAGGAAAACTTGGATAGCATTTTAGATATGTTATATACTCTCATTAATTTTCAAAATGGATTTTTCTTCTTGAAAAAACAAAAGGAGATTTTTCCTTCTCCCCTGAAAATAAATTAATATTCTCTCATTTGGAAAGATGGCCACAGTATTACTCCTAAATGGCCCTTGTATGAAGTGAAATTTTAATGGACTAGCTGACATTTCATTGTGAAGACTGCGGTTCCAAAGTAAATGAAATAGGTTATGAAAAGTAGAAATTAGTTTATAAAGTTAATAGTGCACATACATTTATGGAAACATGACCTCTGTTAGTTAAACTCTTGATTGTTGATGAAAGCTTGACTGCATTACATTGAGTTTCTCAAGGCTATTCTAAGATTTGAATAGAACATGTTCTTTTGTCAGTTCAGTTGAAACCAACATCAAACTGTTGGACTTTTTATGAACTTTTGTCTTAACTAATGACCCTGAGACATTTAGTCATAAATCTGATATTTAGTGCTATATAGATAGCCTAGATTTTTCAGTCAGATGCTCAGACTAATATAGATTTAACTATTCTCAATTGTTCTCCAGATTTAATTCCTTTGTTCAGTGCATAGTCCTGATTTTTTGCTCTGTAGGAGACGGTTCCTTTGGCTCCAGGCCGTGACCTTGACTGGGATGAAGAGATGGCAAAAGCGCAGTCACATGATTGTGTCCCTGTTCTTTCGGAACATCCGCTGTATATTCTTTACACATCTGGAACAACAGGATTACCGAAGGTATTCACTCTCTTAGGGATAACTCTCTATGGCAGCAGATTTCTTTTGCATTGAGAATGTTTGATTACTGACTGAAAATGTTTGCAGACTGTACCTTGAGGTTTAGTCTTAGGTACTTATACCTTAAAAAAATGTTGTGTTTAAGTATTGAAAAATATTAATTATATTTAAGGTCAAGTGCTTTGCCCCAACTTTTCCCAAAATCTTTACATATATCAGCAATATACAACTGCTTTAATAAGCTATGAAAATTAATGTTTGACCAAATATCAGCTGGTTCAATAACATTTTATAAAAGTATATTTTAAATNTTTCATTTATACCACACACACACACACACACACACACACACACACACACACACACACACACACACAACTTTTTTAAGGAGTTTAGGCAATAAGTTCATATTCTCATGGGCAAGACCATTGACCAGGTCAAATTGAAGGTGAAGGGGTGGTGCTAGAGATACATGCCTGAGATATTTGGATACAATTAATAGTTGAAATTAGGGATGCTTTTGATGTTATGATTTTCAAATAAATAAGTCAAAGAAAAAAGCTTTATTTTTAACAGAAGGAGATGGGAAGGAAATATTCTAACAATGCAGTCTGGACCAAATAAAATCTCCAATAAAAGGCTAGTAGAAATGTGAAGTGGGTAATTTTTCTAGAGGAGTCTAGGTCTGACTTGATTAAGTTATTCAAGTTTTGATAGATGGTCTATATATTTTTAATTCAATATGTAACTTTCATTTATTCAGAATTCTAATCTTAGGGAATGTTTAAATCTAGAGTTGTTTTTGTAAATATTACAGATATTAAAATGTGAATTATATCCAATTATGTCTGATCTTTAAAAATATAATTAAAAGTAACAAGACATTTTTTTCTTTCCTGTTGTTCCCTTTTAAAAGGCAGCTTATATAGAGGAAAGAGCAAGTTTCTGTAATCAGAATGGGGTTCTTTCTCATTCCACCACTTCTAACCAGGGGCAAGCTAGGTAACTGCACTGAGCCCCAGGTCCATGAATATTAAATGATATTCAAAAAAGCAGAAAGTACTACATATGCATATATTTGGCATAATATAAACCTTTCCTAGATGAAATGTATTGTTAACCAGAAATCAGATTCAGGAATAGATGCACTATCTGGGACTGATTATCTGTTGCCTGAATAATATATTACCTGTCTCCTTCGCTTTGGATGGCTTGGTGAAGAAACTGCGTACTGAAAAGAATAAACACATGATTTTTTTTTTCTGCAAATGAATGAGAATTTTGGTTCAGCTCCACACATATTTATTGAGAGCTTATGGTATGACAAACGTTATAGCAGTCATAGGAGACAGGAGGTAAATAGGATCCAGATTTGGCATTGGAGAGCTTCCTGTGCAGTGGAGGGGGTGAAGGAAGCCTTTAGCCATACGCAGACATCTGAGGCTTGCCCGGAGCGCACCAAGGAAAGGAGGTTAACCCTAGCTTCTTCGGCTCCTCAAAGATGCCGTTTGGCTATGTCTGTGTGTATCTTGAAGAATGACTAGCAAGTTATCAGGTAAAGAAGCAGTCCAAGTGAGTCTTCACGATGGGCAGGTTCAGGCTTTGTGGGGCTTACAACTTCAAACACGTGGGGGCCTTTTTAAGAAAAATATGACAAAATTACAAATATAAGATTTGGGGAACATGAATATGTATTTAGAATGAGAAAAAAAATCATTAAATAATTATTGGCAATTTGGGTCCCTTTCTTCTGTGGTCTCTACTCATTTAAGCAGAGATGCTTCCATAAAAAACATGAAAAACGCTTCCCTGATAGCAACTGGGCTGGCCCTCTCTACCTAAGAAAATGCTATAACTTCAGCAACAGCCAACTGTTACCGGTAACTGCCAGTGAGGGTCCCCTAAGCTTGCATTTATGGGTTCACGGCAAATCTACTCAGCTTAATGAATTTTTTGAAAAATGTTTTTAACAGCTTATACTGATTAACCAAAAGTGTAATTTTGAACAGGTGAGATTTATGTGGAAGTGGTTAGTTCTATAACACTTAAAAAGGGCTTATTGGTTTTCAAGCCACTTATTCAATACAGAACAGAATTATTCAAACATTTCTTTAGAAATGTATAACTGCCTGTCTGCACCTGAAATATTGTGATTATCTTAATTAGGATTGTTCAACTTTCTCAATTTTATTTATTTTTTTATTTTTTATTGTAGCCCAAGGTGGTTGTTACAGCATCATTTGGCATTGAACCTGGAAGGAGGGTAGAATATATACCACTTCTAGAAGAAGCGCTGAGAATAGGACAACACAAACCATATAAAGTTCTCATTTACAATCGTCCAAATATGGTAATCTGAATATTAAATTTGGTTCTTGCTTATTGTGATGTGCTAAGGATGATTCTAGTTTTGAACATTTCAAACCCTTGATTTATAACTCATTAAATATACTTCCCGAATGTCTCTATGTTTGGCCAAAAAAATATATATATTATATATTAGATAAGAATGATATTTTCTCTTTATGAAAAACTAGCTTAAATATTGAAACACAGAACACCCATAATATTAATGAATTAGAGTCTATGTATAGTCTATAGTGGTATCATTTGTTAATTAAAATTATAACAATAAAAACAGTAGTACTAGCAAACACTTACTTTACTGACCGCTTACCATATGATTTTAAGACACTCTATTAATGGATAACTAGAAAAATCTTCCTGGTAACTCTGGGAACTAGGTGATAGCATTCTTCATATTTTAAAGAAGAGGAATCCAGTGAACAGGGTGATAAACTTGCCCAGCTAGTAAGTATCAGGGTCATGACCTGAACGCTGCTTTCTGCCTGCCTGCTTAGCTCCTAAGCTATTCTGCCTTGTGGAGAGGGGTGTGAGTAATTTGCATGTAAACTATCTTTTTAAAACTTTGGAAAAGATATTTAGTCCAGAAATAAAAATCATGTTCAGGAAAACAAAATAAGAATATTCTAAATAGATACATTATTCTGTGATCCATGAAGGAAGTAAAAGCATACAGTACATCAATGAATATAATTTACAATGCTTTACTTAGTAAATTGGACCTAAAGATCACCTTATTTCTAATGTACATCCAAACAAGTATCCAGCTATTTATAGTAGCGACAACTTGGGTTTCTAGCAGATTAAAATTTTTTGCGGAAGAAAAATTACAAGACATGAAGAATTATGGATAATTTTGCAGAATTCCTGAGAGTTTAGCTGCAGAAAATGCTTCAATGACAAGATATAAGAACAGAGAAAGTTAAAACGATGTCATTTTGGTTACCATGAGTGACTCCTATTGTACATTAAATTCCTGTGTAATGTTTTAGTAGTCTGTGGTCCATAAAATGCTACACTCAATGATTTTAATAGTCCTACTTCCTCAAAGAAGAATTCAAATTTCTTTTAGATGACCTCAAGCATATTTTTTTTTTAAAAAGCTTTGTTGCTATTATATTAAGGAATGCAAAGTCAACACTAAAGAAAGCTTTGGGTAGGAGAAGGTTAGAGAATGAGTGGGAGCACACACATACAAAAGTGTTTAGGTGCATGTGTGGGTGCTCTTCATACATATATGAAATGTAGAATTTATAAAGAACTTATGCCAGGCCCAGTGCTAAGTACTTTCAAATACTTCTTATATAATTCTCACAAACCAGTAAAGTAGATGCTATTATTGGCCCCATTTTACAGATGAAGAAACTGAATCACGGAGAGGTCATAGCCCAAAGTCACCGCTATTAAGGGGCAAAGGCAAGATTTGAACTCCAGTTAAATGAATTTTAACTGACAAGATGTATGCTATTTCTTTTACTTGACCACACAATGGGTATGGATATGAATGCTTACTCTTCAGCTTTTTCTAATGCAAATCTCTTTCCTCTTAATGGGGAAAGACCCACTCCCCGCCGGTACCCCTCTCCCAAAACTGGCTCACTTTGTCTTCCTCCTCCTTTTTCTTCAGACACTTCCTTCTATTTTGACTTATCTTTATTGTAGATGAGGGCTTTG